GGGGGGGCAGACAGACAGTCGGGGTGTGAATTCGACGGGGTCACTCTGACCCCCAGTCTCCTCCGCGGCGTGCGGCGCGCGGGCGGGCGGCCCTACCTGGGTCTCTCTGGGAGGTGTAGAATCCCTCCTGGGCCCCCGACTTCACCGACCAATCACAACCCAGGAAGAACTGCCGGCCCAGCGGGGTGAAGAGCCAGCGCAGCCAATCAGGGATCTGCCTGGCGTCTGATTGACAGGCCATGGCCTCCGCGCAGCCCAGCAGGTGTCCCTGAGGAGGGGGGGAGAGGGGGGAGGTCACACGCTAGCCACACGAGGCCGCAGGAGACGGACAGGGCAGGGAGCCCCAGAGACTCACCGGCAGGCAGCTCAGCCGATGACCCAGGGCCGTCCGGAGGGCGATGGCCGCAGTGATGTAGATCTCGGCCTGCGTGGACGGGTCGATCCTGTCCTGGGCGCTCTCGGCCAGATTGACCGCACTGAGGGCCAGGCTGAGCCCCCATACGCCGCCCCGCTGGGAGAGCTTGCCTACGCACGGTCAGAGAGAGGCTGGGGTCAGTACGGACACACTGGACACTACAGGACAGCGCACAGGGCCAGGGAGCTAATGCACACAGTGGTGGCGCTGTGCTGGAACGCAGTTTGCAGTATGACGAGGTGATGCGTCACACCGTGCGCTGGGCTTCGCTCCACACCTGTGAGCTGCAGCTGGTTAAGCCGGTGGTAGACTATCGCCGCGTCCCTGGAACTGGTCTTGGACTCCTCCCCCTCCCGCCGCCCTCCAATCGGACGCAGCAGCCAGCGCAGGGGGGCGGGCCTATGCAGGCAGTAGCGAATGACGTTCCACGAGACGGAGCAGGCCAGGTCCAGATTGGTAGAGGGCAGGGCGCGGGACAAGACTGACAGGCAGGTCTGCAAATTGGCAACTGCGGCTGGATAGTCACCCTGGGAGACGAGGAAACAGGGGGGGGAGCGGGTTAATACAAACACTGCCTGGACAAGCAAGCCAGTTCACAACACTGGAGATCGACCGGAAGAACATCTCACACAACATTCCGACATGAACATAGCAAGTGTACTGTGGCAGACAGACTCACACAGATGAAAAGGCTGACTGAAACAGAGACATGGTGAGTGAGACACAGACACACAGTCTGGAAGGGTGTGATAGCGTCCAGTGCTGTGTCCACAGGGTGCAGGACAGAGCACAGACAGGGAGAGAGCGAGAGACGACCCTGAGCTCCTACCCTGGCCAGGTCCAGGTCGGCCTGCTTCCGGCGCCTCCAGAAAGACACGGATTTGGGGGAGTGCAGGGGGGTGACGGGCTCCCACAGGTACAGCACCCTGACGCACCCCCACAGAGCCCCCACAACGCTGAGCACCCACACGCAGACGGTGGGGAGCACGCCCCACACCCACCCTGCAGAGACAGACGGAGAGGGGTGTTAGCGCAGGCGTGCATTTCCTGTGAGTCATCAGGCAGATGGCTTTACCCAAGGGGCTCCGAGATTCTGCACTCTTAGGGATCTTTCAGATCTTATTGATCCATCTTACTGGTCGCACACAATGCACAGAAGAACAGCGCCTTACCAATTTACTTTAATTAAATACGCCTTACCAATTTACTTTAATTAAATAAGGAACATGTTACAAGAACCGGAGCTGTTCATCATTCAAGGAACACAAAGTGCAGAACTTCAAACTGCATCAATAATAATAATAATAATAATAATTTGGCAGAAGCTTGAGATGCGAGTTATCAGCTGTATACAAATAGACCACTAGCTGTGCTGTTCTCTACGGTTCCGTACTGCAATCGGACCGCGACCCGCTGCGTCAGAACTCACCCAGGCTCTCGGATGGGTTCTGCAGCCCCAGGATGGTCCGGGCGGGGCCGTGGCCCAGCACCGCGGACCCCTCGCTGCCCCCGACCTCGGGGGTCCCCAGGAGAGAGGGCAGGGGGTTGAGTGAGAGGCAGAGGAAGGTGAGGGCGCAGAGGAGGACCCGGGACCGGTCCAGGACCCCCAGGGAGGGAGGGGAGTCCGGCTCGCACTTCACCTGCGGGGACAGAGCCGGGGAGACAGGCGGTCACCAGGAATTCCCTCCGCTGGCCATGCGCTCTGCGTGTCACTGACACCGTGCACGCGTGTAACATGTCTGGACAGCGTGTCATGCAGGCGTGCATCCCTGTATAAGAAGGGTTTTGCATGCGTGTGTGTACAGGCAAGCATATTGGACTCCCAGTGCGCAGCAGTCTGATCATCCACTGGTTCACAGGTGCAGTGGAACAGACTGACCATTAGTTCACCAAGAGCCTGGGCTGGAAGTAAACCGCGGAGTGGACCGGCCCGTTACCTTGCCCTGGTCCAGCAGGGGGCTCCCGGGCTCGGAATCGATGGAGAAGGGAGAGAACTCGCCGGGGGACCCCGAGTCGGAGGCCGGGGGCGACATCATCACCAGCTCCGGCTTCATCTCCACGTCCTCGCACAGCGGGGCGTCGGAGCCGCGGGAGGATTCTGGGACGGGCAGGGACAGAGAGAGAGACGTCAGCGCCAGGGCGAGACCGAGCTGCCGCGCCCACAGAGAAACAGTCAGACAGCAGCCCCATCCGATAACGGAAATAATTCTCGCGTGGCGTTTAACTCAATCCCTAGGGAAACACGAGGGACACTCGTGTCCTAAGGGACAGCTGCTCCCAGCTCCCAGGGGCTGCAGGCGGATCCACCCGAGGACGAGCTCGCCCCAGTCCAGTCAACTCTGGGCACACTCACTGTTCTTCTGGTTGGCCATCTTCAGCGCCAGGTTCTCCTGCCTCAGCTTCTGGTTGGACTGCTGCAGGTACTTGATGTAGTCAATGGCCTTCCTCAGGACGCCCGACTTGTGCATCTACACAACACGCACACACAAAATCACACCGTTACACACACACACACACACACACACCCCCAACACCCATCCCCGATACCCCCACATATCCAAGTCTTTAAGATGATCATCATACCCTAAGTTCTGGCGCATTCTTACTCAAACACCCTTATACTCTATGCTTTGTAATATCCATCTCCTAACACCCCAGCCTTTGCCCAAATACCCCCTCCTCTCACACCATTCCCTGTATCACTCCAGTTGCACTTACATACCCTATCTTACCCCAATAACCCAATCCTGCTCATTATTAATGCCAGGTACCCCATTCTGTAGCCTCTATAACCCCAGCTCCAGTGTGTGGACTATTACAACACTCCACTCTCTGCTGCCCTGTATCCTAACACCCCAGTCTGTGATCCCCTATACCAGTGCCATCTCCATCAGCCTTAGCTCACTGCACTGCGCTGCGCTACGCCCCCCAGGCTGGCAGGCCTCTCCGCCCCCCCTCACCTTGGCATCGTTGCCCATGACCAGGTCCTTCAGCTCGATGATCTTGTCGTTGATGGAGGAGCGGTACCGCTTCTCGATGATGTTGTGGGTGGTCCTCCTCTCCCCTTCCTTCAACCCCGTCCCAGGCCCGCCCCCGGCCCCGCCCATCTCCGCCCCCGGCCCCGCCCGGGCCCCGCCCCCGCCCGGCGACCCGCCGGACGACAGCTGCTTGATGGGCACCTTGTCCCCGCCCATCATCACGGGCACCGTGGTCAGGATGTTGCCGCCCACCAGAGTCTGAGAGAGGGGGAAGGGGAGAAAGGCAGGGAGTGAAGCGCTGTCACGTGACGCCAAGGGAGGCCCTAACAGGGAGCCCAGAGGAACCCCTAGAGAAGCAGAGGAGTCCGCGCCTCCCGCCTGCACTTACCGGGACCTGCAGGGCATGGGTCTGGATCGGGGTGGTGAGCGTGGTGATCCCGGCCGGGTTCGGCACCGCGGACAGCACCTGGGACCCGTCGGGCTTCAGCGTGGTCAGAACCAGGGAGTCCGTCTTGATTATCTGCGGCTGGTGCACCAGCACCTGAGAGAGGGCACGTCACGGCGTTAACAGCGCCCACACCGACGACACGAACGCCCCCTGGCCTCCCCCTCTCCCCTGTGGAGGTACTGACCGGGACCTGCTGGACCTGCTGGACCTGCTGCGAGACCGCCTGCACAGTGGAGGGCGCCGTGGCCAGGGTCTGGATGGTCTGCGGGCCTGCCTGCGTCAGCACTCTCTGGTGCTGGATGGCCATGGGCTGGACCTGCGACGAGGTGACGATGCTCTGCACCTGCGGCTGGAGGACTGGGGGCAACGTGGGGGGGGGAGGTTAGTGAGGCAGGGCACTCGCTGCAGGGCAGCGGACACAAACTGCGCTGGGCTCTCCTCTACACCTGCGCTCAATCCGTAGGAATATCCTCACACTTACACAGCGCTCTCCTGCACACGCCACTCACAGAGCTGGACAAGTACTGGGGATCCCCTCCACCCTCACCAGTGTGTACCCCCACCTGCATGATGCTCCAGTCCTCTCCCCACACACCAGCTCTCAGTGGGGAGGAGAGCAGAGGGATGGAGCCAGTTCAGAGAGGGGGGTTATTAGGAGGCCGTGACTGGTAAAGGCCAGGGGGAGATTTGGCCAGGACACCGGGGTGACACCCCTACTCTTGTCGAGGAACGCCCTGGGATTGTGAATGACCACAGAGAGTCGGGACCTTGGTTTTATGTCTCATCCGAAGGACAGTATACTGGGGCATCGGGACCCCCACAGCGCTGTTTCGTTCACACTGGACTTGTCTGCCTGAAGAGGACGATGCCTGTGCCCAGCGCACCGAGCGAAGGACAGCGACACCGCCAGCAGGGGGCGCCCCAGGAGCAAGGAGGGCGCACGAGGCCGAGCCGAGCCGAGTCCTCACCTTGGAATCCACTCATGGGGCTCTGGTGGTAGATGACGGGGTGCTGGACGATCCGCGACTGGGACGAGCTGGTCAGAGTGGGGGTGAACATCACGGTCTGGGTGGGAGCCTGCGTCTGCACGGGGAGCCCCTGGGTGTAGATCGGGACCGACTGGGTCTGCACGGTCAGGGTCTGGGTCTGGACCGACACCGCGATGGGCGGCGGCGGCGGCGCCTGCACCTGCTGCGGCCTGGGCTGCAGCAAGGGGGCGCTGCGGAGCGGGGCCGGGGCCGGGGCCGGGGCCACAGTCAGAGGCGGGGAGCCCTGCTGGACAGCCTGCACGGGGGTCTGGGGAGGCGTGAGAGGGAGGGACTGGTGCAGGGAGGGGGGCAGCTGGGACAGGGGCACCGCCGGCCCGCCCTGATAGACCGGGCTGGGCTGGGGGGTGGGGTTGGTGCCGGGGGGCTGCTGCTGTGGTGGGGGCTGCTGCTGCTGGTAAGGAACCCCCGAACCCCCAGTCTGCAGGCTGCCGCCCAGCTGGTCCTCGAACAGGTCAGAGAAATCGCCCACCTGGTTACTCACGAACTGGAGCATCTCTGCGGAGAGAGAGGGGACACAGAGAGGTGAGGAGGGCGGCGGGTCAGTGCGTCACGACGTGTCTGGAGCCCCACAGCTCCGCGTCAAGAACCGACTTGGTCATCTGCTCGCTGCTCGGAGGAGGCCTGAAACAGGCCACCCTGTCGCGTATCGCATGGAGCTGCGGCACCCCAGCAG